CGCTGCATTTACCTGCAGCTTACGCTCTTTCGCTCAATAACATTCACTATACACAGAAAAAACATATCAAATGTAGCCCACACTATGTAACATTCATGTAAATCGAATTATGTTTATCACATAAGGCTTGCTTCCTGTTGCCAGAAGGTGGTGCTAAGACTATGACTCAGTAGTGGCACGTCACATATGGGGCCGACTGGACAATGTACAGTCCAGTTATAACAGCTTCCTGTTTCATAGTGAAACATGAAAATCGTCTATCTTGCCATTACCTGTGCTTTCCTCCTGCGCAGGTTAACCAGAAAATTGTTTCCTCTCACATTTTATTATTACTATTATTATTACTATTATTGTTTATGCCATATATAGACTGTTTTTTTTATACCTTAACCTTTCCTTCTCTGTACTCCTTATGTTAGTCCGTCCACATTTACTAGGGTTTAGGTCAGAGCTGTGAGATTGTTTAGTGTTTTCCCCCTCTTGTTGTTCGTCTCCTCTCCTTGAATGTTTATTCAAGGCCGGGAGAGGATCTCTGTTCCCCAAAACATAGGAACCTACACTGTGTAAACGATTATGCAACCCTTTGCTCTGGGCCAGACGCCCGAAGCTGCCCTAGGCGGCAGGTCTCTGGACAAGCTGTATATGTGTTATAGTACTTCTCTGTTTCTAAAAAGCAATATACTATTTCCATGACAGCCAACTTCCTGTTGAGTTTAGGACAGGGCATCAGGATGCTGAAAATGTTACATGGACCTAAACATTTTTGCACATCTAGGTGAAATGATGAGGGCAACTTCATTGAAATTTTGAAATTTATTAGGGGGCGCCCGTACCACACCAAAGCCTGACCCTTTCAGATAATAAGTAACTGTCACCAGCTCTGTAGCAAAATACAGTATATTTACTTTCACAAAGGTCACGCTCAACAGCCTTACTCTAGACACCAGACTGAACATTATGTTCTGTTTATATAGGCTACTACAAATGTAGTTTCACTTCTGTCCCAGGCGTGCAGCATTTCCTGCAGTTTAAATTTTTTTTTCTGAAAATGGTGGAAGGAGGGGTGAGCAGCCATTGGAAGTGTGGCATTATCTGAAGGCACAAACAACATACTGATGAGTGCTGACCAAACAGCAACCTCTGGGTCTGAAAAGTGAAGACAATGGGGAAATGCATTCTTTCTGCATTTACATTACATTTACTCATTTGGCAGATGCTTTTATCCAAAGCGACTTACATTTGAGGAACAACATACAAGCAGCAACAAAGCATCAATACAGCAAGAGATCTATGGGTGACAATCAGAGATGGGGACGCGAGTTTGAGTCTTGGACTTAAGTCGCACACACAGTGACTTCAGACTTAACTTGAGACTTGTCCTCAAAAGACAACAAACATGTTGACCGCAAAGGCAGCTGCTGTGTAATTCATCATAAGCTTCGGCTTCAACTTCATACAAGACCCAAACAAAAGAAGCGCTGAATGCACAGTAGGTTAGTAACCTGATAGTTTAGTAAACATGTTTGGCTCAGCATTGGCCATTAACATTAGTTTGCTTCTTGCTTTAACTACGACCTACAAGAGATTAACTCCCGACTGTCGTTTGTTATGAAAAGATGAATGAACGTTTGTTTACTTGCCAAACTTGTGGTGGTCGATTAGTGTAATCATTTACGTCCCGCTGGCTGCCATCATGTCAACTGCTGTAAACAGGTTACAGGTTTATTGTTTTTCATGCAACATTACAGTTTTATTTAGTTAATGTTACACAGCTTTGAGAGTCTGAGGGATGTGTTGACTTACAGTAGTTTATAAGCTGTCATTAGTTGTACACGCATTGCACATTAGGCTACATGGTTATACTCTGTAAGTGAAAAACAAGTTACAGTTACAGAATTCCTTATAGCAATGCAGTGTTATAAGGTACTTGGATGGAACGCAGCAGGTGATACAGCACTTGATACTTGACTTGGACTCTAGCTGAGAGACTTGTAAGCATCTCTGGTGACAATACATTCTAGTAAGAGTAGCAATAAATACTAGTAAGAGCTAATTGCACATATGGCATAAATGGAGTAAATACCTAGGGAAAGTAGTAAGAGTTAACAAAATTGTGCAATCAATACAAGAGAATTGTAAGGGGAAAGAAGAAGAAGAGCACAGGAACTGCATGTTAGAGGTTAGGGGTTAGAGGTGTTATAAGAGAGAAAGTGTTCTCAGAAGAGATGTGTTTGCAGGGGTTAAGTTAGAGAGGGACGCCCCTGCCCTGATGGCATGCGGTAGCTTGTTCCACCATTGTGGCGTTACAGATAAGAACAGCCGGGACTGAAATTGCTTTGTGTGTAGGAATGGCACAGCCAGGCGGCGTACGTTGGAGGAGCGCAGTAAGCTTGTATTATTAAATTTACATTACATTTATTCATTTAGCTAACGCTTTTATCCAAAGCGACTTACAATTGCTATTTATGTCAGAGGTCGCACACCTCTGGAGTAACTAGAGGTTAAGTGTCTTGCTCAGGAACATTGGTGGACGTGTCAAAGTTCGGAGTTGAACCTGGGTCTCTCACACCAAAGGCATGTGTCTTATTCTCCTTCACCATCACCACCCACCTTTTATGGAGTTTAAGTAGAAGGGTGCAGACCCAGTAGTCACTCTGCATGCAAGCATTAGTGACTTGAATTTGATTCCGGAGGCCATGGGTGGCCAGTGGAGGTAGCTGAGTAATGGAGGGACATGAGTCATTTTGCGCTGATCAAAAACCAGACGCACTGCTGCATTCTGAACCATTTGTAGGGGTTTCACTGCTCAACCTGGAAGACCCACTAGGAGGGCATTGCAATAGTCGAGGCGAGAGATAACCATGGCCTGTACCAGAAGCTGGGTGGCGTACTGAGTAAGGCAGGGCCTGATGTTTCTTATGTTGTATAGAGCAAAGCGGCACGACCGAGAGACAGCAGCAACATGGTCTAAAAAGGACAAAAAGGTAATTAATAATGTCCACCCTGGTTGGAATGATGGTTGAGAAGTCAATTTGTACTTTAATGTTATGGTGGATAGATTGCTTGGCTAGAATGACCAAGATTTCAGTCTTAGAGAGGTTTAGTTGAAGGTGGCAAGCCTTCATCTATGCAGATAAATCCGAGAGATGGTGGTCTCGTCTGGCGGGAAGGACAGGTAGAAATCTGATGAATTATAATGACATACTAAGTAATTGTCATGACTGTACGTTAATTTTTGACTTTTGTAGAGTTTTCCATATTTATTTTCCATAAAAATGGAAAACAAGTCTCAAAGTTTACTCTGTGCAGAGCAATGTTCTACACAGGTAGTACACTGAGTACTATTACAGTACACAAACTTAGATTTTGGATGTTACTGCATACATTGGCATTTTAATTAGATAAATTGTTTTTAAACTACTCCTCAAAAACGTCAATTACAAACTTAAGGTGTTATGTTACAAAAAACGTTTAACAAATACAATATTTTGATAAATCAGTTTATAATAATTGGCTCTCATGGTGCTTATGGTGGAGAATTATTCAGACAAAGCATCTCTTGTTCTCTCGATAGTTATATTGATTCAAAAAGTTTAAAGACTATATTGTGCTTTGAATATATTCCCATTCATATCCCAAATATATTTTTTAAATCGTTCTGTAACCCAAACAACTACGTCCACTGGAAACACCATTCTGGGACGACAGTGCTTTGAATCAAAGTTCAGTGCAAAGTCTATGACTGTTGACTTTTCTAAGGGCAAAGCTGAGGTGGATGGGCAACAGGTTGCCGTCATTGACACCCCGGGCCTGTTTGACACCAGGTTTGGCATAAATAAAACAACTAAAGATATGAGGCAGTGCATCTCTTTTGCTCTTCCTGGACCCCACGTGTTCCTGGTGGTCATCAGGCTGGACAGATACACTGAAGAGGAGAAACAGACAAAGGATTCAAGAAATCTTTGGCTGGCCTGCAGACAGATACAGCATGGTTCTCTTTACCGGTGGTGACCTTTTAGAAAACACTATTGAGGAGTTCTTGGATGAAAGCTCAGACCTTCAAGAACTAGTGGCCAGATGTAAGGGCCAGTACCATGTCTTCAACAACAAGGAGAAGAAGAATCGCTTTTGCTAGATATATTGATTCACAATGTTTAAAGACTGTATGTTGTTTTTTGAATATATTCACATGTATTTCAATTAACATATTAAATCACTATCACTACCTTTATTATTCAAACTGCATAAAAGATGTTGAGTACCCTGAAACCTTTAACCAAATGTATATAAATCTGGACTCATTTTATCCATCCTGTTTCACTTTCATATCATAGGAGAGGCAGTGCACAGAATGGTGAGCTTAAAAGAACTGCTGCCATTTCTTGTAAATGGTGAGGGAGGGGAGCAAAGTTTACAGCTTACAGTGTACAAAGGGATTTCCGGGAAACTAAGCAGGCATGCATAAAGAAGTCGGATAAACATATCATAAGCATGACACTGGATACGATCTATGATACAGGCTGCAATTATTATGAAAGTAAAAGCAAAAGCTCTGATAAACATGCCAGCGTGTGGCCATCAGGAAAACCTTTTTTTCTTTACAGACGTTTCACATATAACTGGGACATGTACTAAGTAATTATCATCACAGTATGAATGGTAAATGATTGACTTTTGTCTTAATGGTAGAGATGTCCCACCTGAGGTCTGGGACTGTATTTGATTTAATGTTGAACAGGGTGCCTTTATGTTTCTTTATAAAATATGATTTAACATGATTATTGTCATTTTCTTCAATCATATCATCATTAACACTCTTAAAATATGTGGCTTGTAAAAAGTGTTTGCTTTAGCCAATTGAAGGTACCACCTCTGCCTCATTTAGAGCCAGAAAACCCCTGACAGTCCCATCGATATTTCAAACCAAAATATCCTCATGCGGCTTCAGATTCCCTTTCACTTTCAGTTTCACTTTATAACCAGTGCAGCTACTGATGGGTGTGGTTTGGGCCATTTTAAAAGGAGCTGCAGCAGATCTCTGTGTCTTCACTTCAACTGCAGTACTTTGTACTCTTTAACTCAAACATGAGCAGCAAGTATTACAACCCAAACATGATCAGCAACTTAGGTAAGTTATGATACTGTATCCATGTTTTAAAGTGCAATTACTTTATGGTTATATAACAGTGATCATGCCTAAATCCAATTTTATGTAACACTAATGTACTGTAGCTCCTATAGACAATTACTTCAACAGACTAACATTGGGTAGACTGCAAAGATATAGTCTTATTTAACTTTTGTTCCAAGGTGTTAATCTGACTACAAATTCTGGAGTACTTTTATACAATTCTAAGATTTTTCAGTTAAAAATAACAATTTCTCGGTCTCTAGGAAAATGTTAAAGATTTGTTGTCTTTTTGAGATGAATGCCATTTTGTTGTGAAGAATCTTGAGTCCTCTTTTGAAGGAAAGTTCAGAATATGTGCTTTTAACTCAGCTATGTTATCAGTTTTTCTCTGGTGTATTGGGCGACATCACAGAAACTAACGGTTATATTATCATCCTCATTATTTTGTTAAGGAAAAGGTTTATTTTCAAAATCTAAGAAATCTTTAAACAAATATCAGTCTGGATGAGAAGCCCCTCACTGCAGTGTGCAGTGTGCTCAAACACTGCTCAATGTAGCTCCCTAGTTTGTCCACCTGAGGCTGATGTAGAATATAACAAAGGTAAATAAAAGAAAATGTTGGATACAAAGGAAGTTACATCTTCTAAGATCTTAATCCAATACCTGCTTGGATATAAATACAAAGTGATACTGTTATTATGCATAATTTACTTTGTGATGTTCATGTTCGACCACTGCAGTGGTATATTTTCATATAAACAACTACAGCACCAATGACCTATAAGCCCAGATGTAGATGTACAGTCTTGAAGTGGACGCACCGGTGTTACACCGGTACTCTCCTCTGCCCTGTCCATATCAGGTTCTCTGGGCACTACGTGACGCTTACCGGTTCTTGTTCTCTCCGCCTGCTAAACTCTCTCGGCAGAGAGAGACGAGGGAGAAGAGAAGCTCGGGTGCCTTTCAAGCAACCGTTTGCTGACTGTAGCTCGTCAGTGTCACTTTTCGTGAGACACAAAGTAGTCCCTGTCCTTTAAGTAGGATTCAAACCAGTTTAGTACTGTGCCAGAAAGTCACACCCAGTTTTCAAGCCTGTCTTGTAATATGTTCTGGTCGACCGTGTCGAATGCAGCACTGAGATCCAATAATACCAAGACTGAAATTTTGCCACTGTCAGTGTTCAAATGGATGTCATTGAAGACCTTAATAACAGCCGTATCAGTGCTGTGGTGTGGTCGAAATCCTGATTGGAAGACATCAAAACAGTTATTTAGTGCCAAGAGAGTACTAAGTTGTTGAAAAACAGCTTTTTCAATGATTTTACTTAAAAACGGCAGATTTGATATGGGCCTATTATTGGTCATTAGTGAACTGTCTAGCTAGCTCTTTTTAAAGAGTGGCTTAATGACTAGTTTTCAGGGCCTGTGGAACAAAACCTGAGAGGAGAGACATGTTGACAATTTGTAGAAGATCTGAGGCCATGCATTTAGACACATTTTTAAAAAACCTGTTGGCAGAATATCAATGTTTTCAGTGATGTGCCGTTTTGTGATCACCTCTGTTTGTACATTTGTGTGCACGCAGATAGCACTCTCAAAGAAAACACAGGAATGATCAGAGAGAGCAACATCAGTCACCACAACCAGAAATGTCCAGACCCTTGGAGATGACCAAGTCCAAAGTGTGCACTTTATTGTGCGTGGGCCTCGTCACATGTTGAGTCAATCCATAATTACTAAGAACACAACACAGTTCTTTAGTCCCTCTTTCCTGGGGGTTGTCAACATGGTTGTTAAAATCAACAACAATAACCACACAGTCAAAGTCAATACAGATTATAGACAGCAGTTCACCAAAGTAATCAAAAAGGTATGCACAGTATTTAGGGGGCCTGTAGATATTTAGAAAAATAGCTTGAGAAGAGGAATTCAGCTGAAGAGCCACATATTCAAAAGAAGCAAAATTTTGGCATTGGAGGGAGTCATTAAACAAAATGGCAACTCCACCTCCTCTCTTATGCACTCTAGCTTCACTCATAAAACTGAAGCTGGGAGGGGTAGACTCGATAAGGACAGCTGCACTGTTATCTTGGTCCAACCAAGTTTCAGTTAAAAACATGAAATTAAGATTGTGAGTGATTATAAAATCATTGATTAAAAATGTTTTTCTTGCCAAAGACCTAACGTTTAACAAAGCTAATTTTAGTGTGTTAAAAACATTATCTGGCCCACTTTTTTTCGACAGGCTGCAGCTGATGAGGAATTAATACAAATTTGCAGGATATGTTGAGTGCTTCCTGTTTCTTAACACATTCACCATGCTTTTTCTGTTACCTAAGACAGGGATGGAGAAGACTACCAGCACATTGGGCCCCGGATTGTCCTTGGAAGAGTCATGAGTGCTATTTTCCTTGTAGCCTGGACCCAGCACATATCAGACAGAGCTTACTGGGCTTTTTCGCCGTTGCGGAGCGGGAAGGCGGGTTGTGCGCTGTATTTGTGACACATGTGTCAAACCTGGAGGACTTAGAACCAGTGGTGGAGGTGGATGGTGAGGGGGTTTAGGGTAGAGAAAATGGGAGTGGAGCGAGGGAAGGTGCGGGGAGTAAATTTGGTCTTCCATGTGATCAGTGAAGTCCAACAGGGGGGAGAGGGGAGAAAGTGTGTCTGAAGGTGGGGATTGGGGGGGTAGAGATGTTGAATCCTCACTGTTGGTTTTCAGTGAGAGAGGTGGAGACTCTTCCTCTTGGCTCAGATGTCTCCCGTGATCAGAGCTCTCTTCCAGTGGGGGTTGGGTTGGCTCTCCTTCAAGGTTTCTGGTGTGTTGTGTCATGTCTTCTTCTTGTTTTGATTCCTCTTGTCTCTTGTCCTTGGCAGAGGGAACAGATGAGTGACTCATGTCTGCGGTCCCACAGAAAGTAAAAGTTTTCGATGAAATGCACTGAATGGACAGTACACGCCGTTAAGAGCCACGTGTTCAAAGCCATCAATCTGCTGAATCTCTCAGCTCCTCTTCGGATTGGTGGTATAGGGCCACTGATAAACACCTCAGCATTGAAAGAGCTGACCGTGTTCAACAGATTATTAAAGTCCTCTTTCAACACTTCAGACTGTTGCTTCACAACATCATTGGTCCCTATGTGCAGTATGATGTTTTTCACACTAGGATGTTCAGCCACAATATGCAGAATTCTTTCTGCCAAGTCAGAGACCATATCCTTCGGAAAGCAGAGTACTTTGGTGTTCTTACTGCAAATGCTTCTTACATCGTTTACAGCAGCGTCACCCACAGTCAGAGTTTGAGGCCCAGTCATTAGCTTTCCCTGCAGCCTTTTACTTTCTGATTTACTCTCAGTCCTTACCCTTCTGTGTGAGGATGGGATGTTATTCAGGTCATCAGACGGAGATCCAGGGTCCTGCAGTAGTGGTGAAAATCTTTTCTGCTGTTGCACACTCGGTTGTTGGGAAGGTTTGTTGCTAATTCTCCATTTCGCAGCTGTCCACGGCTGTGTCCTACCAAGAACAGTTGCTGAAGAGGCGCTCTGCCTGGATGATAATGCAGGCCAGCCAGTCGCATCACAAATCTCAGGGCGCTGGGTTCTGCCTGTTACTCGTCCTTCCATTTCCCACGGAAATGATTTACTCTTAGGCTTTGCACCAAGAGCGTTCCAGGGAGGACTCCCACTTTTAGATTTATTACCCAGTACACAGGCCTCCTGCTTCTTGGTATTCTTGTTGGTGCTAATTAGCCATGTGTTAGCATGCTCTTGTCCACTGTTTTGGGTCCACGGTAAAGTGGTGTCATTCCCACATAGTCCATTCACTTCCTCATTTACATCTAACCTGTGGATCTTGGTTTCCAGCACATTAATTTTCTGCAGAAGTTTGTAGAAGTCGTCTGTGGAGAAGGGTGGCACCTTGTTGCTAATTAGCATTAGCTATAGCTCCAGTCACTGCAGTACAGGCTAGTGCTATTGATAGGCTGCACTTGCGTAGCAATAAGATCATAAAAGATTTTAAAGTATGGCAATAGCCTACTTTATCTGACAGTCCCAGTGATTTAAAAGTATCCAAGAGCTGCTGATTTCTAGCAGGAAAAAAAGAGAGTTTAAGCAAAAGAATGCAAGGAGAGGCAAGAGCAAGCAGCAAAGCGTCTGCACTGTCAGAAAGAGGGGGCAGTTTAAAGTTGCATTATTTACAACCTTATAAAGATTTGTATTTATTGTCACTCATTCTTCTACACAGGAAGCAGCAGAACAAATGATGAGGAGCTGAGGATAGTGATGGTTGGGAAGACTGGAATTGGGAAGAGTGCTACTGGAAACACCATTCTGAGACGACAGTGCTTTGAATCAAAGTTCAGTGCAAAGTCTATGACTGTAGACTGTTCTAAGGGCAAAGCTGAGGTGGATGGGCAACAGGTTGCCGTCATTGACACCCCGGGCCTGTTTGACACCAGGTTTGGCATGAATAAAACAACTCAAGATATATGCCAGTGCATCTCTTACGCTTCTCCTGGACCCCATGTGTTCCTGGTGGTCATCAGGTTGGGCAGATACACTGAAGAGGAGAAACAGACGGTGCAAAGGATTCAAGAAATCTTTGGCCAGGCTGCAGACAGATACAGCATGGTTCTCTTTACCGGTGGTGACCTTCTTGAAGACACCACTATTGAGGACTTCTTGAATGGCAGCCCAGAACTTCAAGAACTCGTGGGCAGATGTAACGGCCAGTACCATGTCTTCAACAACAAGGAGAAGAAGGATCGCTCTCAGGTCACTGAGCTGCTCCAGAAGATCAGAAATATAGTCCAGAGGAACGGAGGAAGCCACTACACCAACAAGATGTTCCAAGAGGCCGAGAGGGCACTTGAAGAGGAGAAACAACGCATCCTGAAAGAGAAGGAAGAGCAAATACAGAAAGAAAGAGAGAAACTTGAAAGGAAACTTCAAGAAAAATATGAAAAAGAGATGAAGAAAATTAAAGAGCAACTCCATGCTGACAGAGAGAGGGAGAAGAAGAGAGAGAGGAGGAGAGAAAGAGGGAGAAGGAGGAGATGAATGAGGAAAGAAAGAGGGAGAGGGAAGAGCTAGAAAGACAGAGACAGAGAGATTGTGATGACAGAGAGAGGGAGATGAAAAAACTAACCGAACAGCATGAGAAAGACTTGAGAGAGGAAAAACAAAAGTTGCAGTCCAGATATGAAAAGGAGGCCAGGGAGGAAGCTGAGGAGTTTAATCCATTATATCCTCTGGTTCTAGCTGGTGAAGCTATAGTTGGAGGAATCAAACAACTTGGAAAGGCAATTGGAAGATGGTTCAAGTGAGTGGTCCTAAACTCAGGCTGTTTAACTACAGAGGAACCCTCCAGATGCTCACACACAAGAACAAAAAAAAGCTATTATTATTTCATCCACAGAAATATATTCACAATGTATGTTTTGTATGAGTGAATGATGTCCTGGAGGTTAGTAAAGTCACTCAACACAGTCCTTTTTACATGAGTATGTGAATATGGCCTAAGGAGATATTTAATGTGTATATTAACATTTGACAGTGTAATGTGTTTGCATATCAATAACATTTTAAGATGAAATCCTAACTAAACCTATGTATTTCATTAAATTACCTATTGTTTCAAGTTTTCTTTTTTATTGTATTTTAAATGACTGCCATTTGTTTTCCTGCAGACTAATAGTACATTATTTGATTTTGATTCCCTTCTGCTGGCAGTTTGTGTTTATGTGCTAAACTGAACTAGAAATAAAGATGTGCTATTAAGACCAAACCTTTGTCAAATTAATAATTAACTGTCCAATCAAGAGTTCCAAGGTCACAGTTCAATGCTTTTTCAGGAACTTGGGAGTCTTACACTGAACTAATGGCAAAATGTTTGTTCCATGCACTCATAAAAAAGGACACCTTTAAAGGCGCCTGCTTGTTAATGACAAAGCCTATCAAACAACTCAAACAGCCGAAACCAACACCTGCACCCTGTGTGTTCAATGCTGCTTTAACGTTACCTGGTCCGTGCTTGTGAAATACCCACCGCGACTAACGTCATTTCAAGTTATTAACCAAATAAAGTCTGTGCACGCACAGACGACCTCCCCGCAAATTTTCAATTTTACCACTTTGGCAGCAGAAACAAGTTGTGGACTCAAAACTGATGTATAGTCACCTTTCAGTTAATATGGAAAACTTGATAGCTGCTTTACACATGAGTAGCATTCGATTGGAGGTGTGTTTCTGGCCACCTGAAAAATAGTATTCATCAATAATTTATTTACAGAAGGACAAAAGGGGAATTATTTAAAAGGGATCAAACAACAGAATGCTAGAGCAAGGCCCTTCTGTTCTAGCTTAAAATAGACTTCAAAATCATATGATTATTAAATATTCTTCCACAAGGTGTAAACCAGGACGAAAGTAACAAGGCGATTTTCTCACAGCCCTGGCTGCATTTGTAGTCCAAGCTGTGACAGCACCTTCAGCACGCAACCCTTGAGGGAGCTGCCAAATATTGCATGATTTCGTCATCGTTTCCCGCGGCCGTCTTCGGGAAACTGTTTTCAAGCAACAAGTAAATGTTTGAAGCGGGACTGTTTTTGGAATTACAAGTTGTGTCTCTCGTTTCATGTGTCACAGTAATGATTAATCTACAGGTTATTTAGTGCTTTAACACACCCTGAAGTTTGCCCTGCCAGAGTTTTTTAGTATAAAAATAAATCATGTTTATATGACAGGAGTTCCTGTGCATTTTAATCATGCCAGGTTCATAAACAATGTCCATCTAACCATTTACCCCCTGTTTTAGGTGCACACATTTGCATATTTATATTATATATTTATAATATATCCTTAATATAAAATGAAATATTCTAAACAATTCAAGTTTGGGCTGTCAGGTTACTTTTGAAACTGAATATTTAATTTAACATTTATTATTTATTTTCTTAAAGATAAAGGACAAAAGATGTTTGCAGTTACACATTAACTAAGTCACAGTCATGTTTATTTATAAAATACACGGGTGGTAACGCAAAAAATCTAGCTTGTATTGTTGTGTTACTTTTGCCCCAGCTGACCTTGTCGAAAGTAACAATGTGCCACTTATATTTAAAGTGAAATTATACAGAAGTCCTTCTACATTTGTACAAAATACCACCTGATATTGATAGACCACACCTATGAGTTACAGCCAAAAATATATCTCTGTCTGAAACATTATCTTTGAAAGTTAGATTTTTCTGAAAAATGGTACTTTCGCCCCTGATCTTCCCTATTTTCTTTTTAGGTATGTTGAAATTAAAGAATTTAGTCCTATTTAACTGGGCATATATCGCGTGTAGTCACTGAGTGATCCGAGTGTTCCCCTTCTGCCGGCTCTTAAAAGAACTGACCCTGCCTTTTGTAATATTTTTAAAAAATGTCGGACAACCAAGCACCAACTAAATCTCCTTACAAGGTATGAAAAACACTTTCTATGCGTCGTCAGTGCTTGAAGTGGAAAAAAATAGGTGTCAGTTCTCTTCTCCCTCGTCTCTCTCCACCGAAAGAATTTAGCAGGCAGAGATAGCAGGAAACGGTGAGCGTCACGGAGCACCCAGATATGGAGAGGGCAGAGGAGAGTACCGCCAACTTGGGAGAGGTCCCGGTACGCAAGAAAATGTCCCGGTACGCCAAAGACTATGGTATTTCCTTCTATAACAGAACAGTTTAAGTTTCACTTGTGGTTAGTCTCCTGTCCTCAAGGCAAGGCAAGTTTTTGTATAGCACATTTCAGCAACAAGGTCATTCAAAGTGCTTTACATAAAACATAAAAGCAACAGGGAAATATAAAAAAGAGGTAAAAAGTTAAATAGAAAATAAAAGCAGGCAGGTCTCTCACCTTTGCTTTTACTCCTTCGATTCCCCATCTCCCACTCTATCCCTTTGTTTGTTTGTTTTGTTTGTTTAACACTTAGGGACTCTAACCCTTCCTTAGATACAGTCGTCACTGTAAATCCAGATTGTCCACGCTACAAACTCTAAGCGGTTGACAAACAACAACAACAAATTAACAAATTAATTTTTCTCAGCCCTATTAACTATCAGCCGTGTGAGATGGTACAATCAAAAGAGTGCTCTAGGATATTTAAATAGTGTTCACTGAAAATCTAAAAACAAAGAATAAGAAAACAGGAGAGTAAAAGTTACAGTGCAGTGTCAGTAATCAATCTACTTGTTAAAGGTAGTGCTAAAAAGTCTTCAGTCTTGATTTTAAAGAAATGAGAGTTTCAGCAGACCTAGAAGTCCCTGTCCTTTAAGTAGGATTCAAACCAGTTTAGTACTGTGCCAGAAAGTCACACCCAGTTTTCAAGTCTGTCAAGTAATATGTTGTGGTTGACTGTGTCGAAAGCACCACTGAGATCCAATAATACCAAGACTGAAACTTGCCACTGTCAGTGTTCAAATGGATGTCATTGAAGACCTTAATAACAGCCGTCTCAGTGCTGTGGTGTGGTCGAAATCCTGATTGGAAGACTTTTAAAAAACCTGTTGGCAGAATATCAAGGCAGCATGAGGAGGATTTCAGATGTTGTATTATGTCCTCCAGGTGGTTATGCTTGATAGAATCGAAAATTGTGTCATGCTATCTGAATTGTTTTTAAGTGGACACAGGGACAACACATATTTCTGTACCTGACGTGGAGGCACTGATTGCTTGACTAATTGTTTGAATTTTGTCTGTGAAGAAGGAGGCAGGCCTTGGAGGATAGAAGTTCAGAGGCTACAGACACAGGAGGGTTGGTTAGCCTGTCGACAGTAGCAAACAAGGTGCGTGCATTATAATTGTTTTTGGTGAAGAAGAAGAACCGCCTTGTATTTCTCAATTCTAAGTTACAAATGCGAAGTCTCTCTTTATAGATGTCATAATTAACCTGGAGATTCGTTTTTCGCCACCTGCGTTCAGCTTTTCCACGCTATATTTTTTGAGTTCTAACCAGTGTGTCATTTCTCCATGGAGATCTTTTCTTAGCAGAGACCACCTTCACCTTGGCTGGTGCAATGGCATCAATAACCTTTGTAACTTTAGAATTTAAATAATCTACAAGCTCATTGACTGAGACCCATGGGAGGGCAGGTGTGGAAGAGAAAGCCTCAATAAATATTTCACTAGTGTTTTCAGTGATATGCCGTTTTGTGATCACCTCTGTTTGTACATTTGTGTGCACGCAGATAGCACTCTCAAAGAAAACACAGGAATGATCAGAGAGAGCAACATTAGTCACCACAACCTTGGAAATGTTCAGACCTTTGAAGATGACTAAGTCCAACATGTGCACCTTATTGTGTGGACTCATGTTGAGTCAGTCCATAATTATCAAGAACACAACACAGTTCTTTAGTCCCTCTGTCCTGGAGTTTGTCAACATTGTCACGATCCTGTCCTGAGCGTGTCTGGGTTTCTTGTGTTTTGTCCCCCCCCCCCCCCAGTAATCTGCCTGCCTGCTAGTCTCTGTTTTCCCTTCTGTCTCTCTGCCTCGTTAACCCTGATCCCAGTCACCTGTGTTGCTCCCGCCCTGCTCGTTAATCACTGTGTATAAATGTCTGGTGTTTCTGTTCATTCCCTGTCCGGTCATTGTCTCATGTCAGTCCTGTCCTGTCGGATGTTGTGTTGTTTCCTGCTACCTTATGGATGTACCAGTTCCTGTACTCGTGAGTTCTGTTCATGCCTGTTGTTGTGCTTGGGATAAATAAAACCTGGAACTCAATCTCAGCTCTCAGTGTCATGCGTTTGGGCTCTCCCCTGCTTTGCGCACCCAGCGATCCTGACAAACATGGATGTTAAAATCACCAATAACTACACAGTCAAAGTCAACACAGATTATCGAGCAGTTCACCAAAGTCAGCAAAAAAGGTTGCTTAGCAGGGGGCCTGTAGATATTTAGAAAAATAGCTCGAGAAGAGGAATTCAGCTGAAGAGCCACATATTCAAAAGAAGCTAAATTTCCATAAGACATCTTTTACATTGGAGGAAACAAAATGGCAGTCCACCCCCTTTCTTATGCACTCTAGCTTCATTCATAAAACTGAAGTTGGGAGGGGTAAGGGCGGCTGCACTGTTATCTTGGTCCAACCAAGTTTCAGTTAAAAACATGAAATTAAGATTGTGAGTGATTATAAAATCATTGATTAAAAATGTTTTTCCTGCCAAAGACTCC